GGAAGGAAGGAAGGAAGGAAGGAAGGAAGGAAGGAAGGAAGGAAGGAAGGAAGGAAGGAAAAAAGAAAGAAAGAAAGAAAGAAAGAAAGAAAGAAAGAAAGAAAGAAAGGTCATATCCTGTGAAAGAGACGTCTTAAAAATGCCTAAAGAAAATTGTCATTTTTTCATGGTGACGGGACTGGAGTCCATGTTGATGAAAACCCCTTGGTGGCTGCAGCTGCAGCAGTAGGGTGATGGGGCTGGTGCCTTCCCCTGATCAGCCCAGTTGCCTCCCACAGAGGGAGGCCAGACTGAGGTTTAGGCCTGCTCCCCATGGGAAGCGGGCCAAAGCCGTCAGTAGGACATCCCCTGAGGGCTCCCGGACTGTGAGAGGGGGCAGGCTGGGCTGAGGGGACTTCCCCCCCCAGTGCACAAATTTCGTGTACCGGGCCTCTAGTATTAATATAATTATTACTGCCAGAGGAATTATACCACACAAATAGTTACAGTTGCAATTCACACAGCAATTTATTCTCCTTTTATCATTGCAGTGGGCACAAAGCTTTATTAACACACAGCACACTGTTACTCACAAAATTCCTGGTGCTGTGGGTACAAGCTTAAAGGGAGCTCCCAAAATGTGGCTTCCTCCGGTGGCAGCAGTGGCACCTTCTCTGGCTGGCTGGTCAGGTCAGGAATGAAGTTCGGTTTCAGGGCAGCGTTGCCTTCAGAAATCTCTGTGCACAGCATGGATCAATCTGTGGCCCCACTGTTCGTCTGTCTTCTGGCACAGAGTGGAGCTGAGCGAAGTAGGGAAGGGGACTGCATCCAAGCTGAAGGCGATCAGCGAAGATAACTTCTAGCGATCAGAGCCACCAGTGCTGTGCAGGGATCAAAGCAATTAGCGACGACCAGGCGTCCGACATCAAGCAATGATCAACTGAAATGGTGTTCGGGGACCCTTTAAATAGCCTGTAGTACCCACAGCAGCCCATGGGGGAGTAGGGGATTCTGGTAAACGAAATGAGTAACAAGATTTCAAGTTTAACATTAGTTCCAATGGCATATCAGTAAACAAACTTGTAAGCACTCAGTTTCACTCTGGGGAGGGGGAGGAGTGTACGTCATCTGACGTATGGTTATCAGGGCAAGTCACGCTAAGTCAGCAGTCTAAGTTCAAATCCTTATCAATGGAATACACATGCTTCAGGGCAGTGGGGAATGTGTCCTTAAAATCACACTTTAAGTTTCAGGACAGTTAACTCAGACCTTTTAAAACCTTTTAAACATTTTTTGGTCATTTTTAAACATTTCTATATTTTACTACAACACCCTTCCTCTCTCTCTAACATCAATTAAGGCATATCCTCGGGTGAGGATTAAAAAATAGAGTAATGTGAATTTTCTTATGCTGCCAAATGTTTCTCTCCATGTGCAATGGCTGTGATTACCATGCTAATTGGTGAGTGCCATCAGAACCATGAAGTAGAACAGGAAGAAAAGCAAGAAAAGGAGTACTCATCTCTACTTGAAAATGAAACTTCATTATGCAAGAATCACTGCGGTCATGCCGTGTGACAGAAAGACTTGTTAAGTTAGTTTTTCTCTTTCCTGAGTGCTTCTGCGCTCAAGTCCTCTGCACACACTCGAGTCCTCTGTGGTGCCAGTTGGGAGTTTGGCAGTGGCACAGCCACAATTTCATGGCCTCTAGATGAGATCCCTTTGTTTTTAGGATGTAGGACAGCAGGTGTGGAAATAGACTTCTTTGAGCCCCAAACAAGAGCACTGTGAGGCTCACGGTGTCTGTGCTGAGCCTCCACGTGTTCTGGAATAAGATTTGTTGTGAGAGTGTGCACCTGTGACCCGAGGGCTCCCTCGGGGGGTCTCTAAGGGAGTGCTGCTGGTCATGGCACCCCATCTTTAGGCCTTGGCTTATCATCCATCTGGTTTTTCACTGTTACACTTTCAATAGATACCTGTTATTTGAATTTGATTTTGAGATTAAATAGAATGGCAGAGATAAATGTCATTTGGCTAAGACAAATCTTTTTCTTTTTTTTTTTTCCTTTTGTGGTATAGCAAGAAGATCAAGATTTCTAGAACATAGAAGAACAGAGTAAAAGCTGACTGGTTTGGGTATCTTTTAAGCTGTTTTTTTCTCAGTTATTCATCAACTCAGCTTGTCTTAATAAACTCTTTTATGTAAAAGCTGTTCTAGGCCCCATGTGAGTGAGAGGCTTGGCTTGCAACCCAGCCTGAAAATAACGTTGATGGCTTATGTTGGCAGTTTAAATGTTATCTCTTCATTTTCTGGTATTCAGTGGTAAGTAACTCCCTGGCAGAATTACTTGTTGCCAGGAATGCTGGTCTGAGAGTCTTTGTTTGGTTAGCCCTTAGGATGGAGATAGAAATCTACCTGTTAGGTTGAAAATGATTTGTGCAGGTTGATGTTTCCTGGGATATCAGGGCTTGTTTGAACAGAGCGGTTTTAGGAGGCGGTGCTCCAGGTGTCTCCAGATGTGCTGTAGTTGCTCACAGACATTGGCTGCTCTTGGTGGGTGGTATGTAGTGGTTGAAACTCGGCCTCCAGATTGCCTGGCTTCCCTTCCTCCACTGTGTATCTTTGTGGCCTTGGGAAAGTTGTGTAACTATTCTTTGCCTCAGTTTCCTCCTCTGTAATGATAATAAGAGTACTTCAATCAGGGTTGTTTAAGGATTAAAATAGTAATGTATACAAAGCACTTAAGCAGTGCCTGGCACATAGGAAGCACCCAATAAATGTTACTTAGCGCAAAACTCTGTAGGAAATATATACAAAGTTCTGTGCTGGGCTACAGAAGTGGCTCTGGTTTGAGATTAACCAGAAATGTTACCTTGGAGTTTTCCTAGACTAAATTACTTGTACTCAAATAAACCCCTTCGAATGGAGTAGACCAAGCATGTCAAACTCGTGGCCTGCAGGCCACATGCGGCCCACAACAAATATTTTTGTGGCCCAGCCAATATAGCAGTATGTAAAAAGCATTTTAATAAAAATTTCATAACTTAATTTTTACTATATCCTATTATACATAATCTCTCTATATATAAAAGGCTAATATGCTAAGTGTCCTACTGTCTGACTTGTCACTATGACATGCACTGACCACCAGGAAGCAGACACTCAAAACACAGGAGCTGCTGTGACGGGCACTGGCTGTTTACAGAGAAATGGCGCTGTGGACCTGGTGCCCACAAAGCAACACTTGGCTTTCCCCAGGTGGGACACAGGCCCTGCCAAAACCCTGGAGCCACAGCCCACCAAATCACAGCCGCTGCCGAGACCCCATGGTGCAAAATGCGGCCCACAGCCGAGCCCAGCCTGGAAACAGTGGCTGAGGAGGCTGGGTAATGACGTCACAAAGCAACACCCGGCTTCCTCTCCCTAGTGATGACTAGCCTCCTTGGAGTTTCTTCAGCCCAGGAACATGACTTGGTTTATAGCCAGGTGGAAACATTTACACTTTAACCAAATGTCTGTGAAGCATTTTCCCGTGCCTCATCTCATTAGAACCTCCCAGAAGTCCTGGAGTAGGTGGATAGGAGACTTGGTGGAATTCTATTTTCTTCTCATTAGCTGGAAAATGGAGATTTAGAAAGTTTAGAAACTTGACCTGACTGAAAAGAAGTAAGAAATGGTGGACTTTGAAAATGACTTCAGGTTTTCTCACTGTGCAGAATATAGTCAAACACTGCTGCAGTTAAATATTTCACCCTTTGTCCTCCCTGCATTAACGAACTACAACATTGGCTAATGACTGATTACTATAACCGTGTTGCATTCATTTCCCTTATGGGCCTTATGCGCAGGCGCCCCATTTCTCTCCACTAATACCAGCAGTGAATATTTTAGCAGCTGAGTGCCACGTCATTAGTCTTGTATTGAATTGTTTGGTGTGCGCATCAGGAAATATTTCACTTTTGAAGAACAAGAAAAATAGGTTTATTTGTGTTACACTTATTAATTTGTGCAGTTATTCAGTGTCTGGTAAGTTAATGTTCAAGAAAAAATATTTTTATTAAAATGTTCTATTATTTTATGTTAACAATGCCTCATTTATTTCAGTCCTTTGTATTCAGCATGTCTCTATCGAAATAAACCTACATTTCTATGAAAATCGAAGCTTTTGTGTTTTTCATGTGGCTCACATGAACTTAAACCTTGTTTATTTGGCCCGTGTTAGCCTTTGAGTTTGACATGCTTGGAGTACACAGTTCTTTCTCTCCTCTTGAAGGGAATGGGGATAATATAAGCTGTCCAGAATGACCTTTAATACTCTAAGCTCTGTGAGGTATTAATATTCCTTTTTACTTTTTAAATAACACATGCTGCTAGTAAGTATTAAATGGCAACATAAAGCTTTATGATTTAAATTACTTTTAAATTCTTCAAGATCTCACAAAAGGACTTTTTTGAAATTCATGTCTTTCTCCACTTAGGCTGGCTTGATGTTTACCTTCTTTGGCAGAAATGATACTGCTTGGCGAAGCTGCCTGTTCATAGTCAGGACCCTTTTTCTCTAGTTTTCTCTGTAGCAATTACTTTAACCCTCCATTTCCCCTTCACATTGCAGATATTTTCAGTGTAAAGGAAGGATAGTTGTCTTTATGTTTTCAGGACTGGATGTTCTGGCTGGGTTCATTAAAATAGATTTCTAGCTCAGGCAAAACTAGTTATAAGCATAAGACTGCTTTTTTCTTTCTTTGTTTAAAAAAATATTTTTATTGACTTCAAAGAGAAAAGGAGAGGGAGAGAGAGATAGAAGCATCAATGATGAGAGAGAATCATTAATCCGCTGCCTCTTGCATGCCCCCTGCTGGGGATTGAGCTCACAAACCAGGCATGTGCCCTGAATGGGAATAGAACCATGACCTCCTGGTTCATAGTTGATGCTCAACTACTGAGCCGTACAGCCAGGCTGTTTCTAGTTTTTTACTCTTGCAATCAGCACTTCAGTGAACATTCTCATTCATGTCTCCTGTGCACATGCGTGAAGTTTCTCTGGAGTACATTCCTGGAAGTAGAAGTGGTAGGATGTGAAGTTTGCACATCTTTGGCTTTTCCTAGATGTTACCAAATTGCTGTTCACGATGGTTATTTCAGATTATGTGGTATGCATAAGAGTTTCCATTTCTCCATAACCTCACTAAAATTTGTTAAGGTCAGACTTCTTAATTTTTGCCAAATTATGGTGATTTATTCTTTTAATTTGCTTTTTTTCTGATGACTAATGAGCACCTTTGTAAACGTCAGTTGGCCATTGGTTCTTCTCTTCTGTCTCTTTCCTCCCAACTCTTTTGCCCATGTTTCTGTTGGGTTGTCTTTTCCTTCTTGGTTTATAGGCTCTCTTTATAAATGCAAGATGGTAATAATTTGCTAGTTCTATGCACTGCAATGATCTCCTTCTCTATGGATCATCTCTTTTTGCCTTGTTCCTAGGGCAGTGATGGCAAACTTTTTGTGCTCGGCATGTCAGCATTTTGAAAAACCCTAACTTAACTCTGGTGCCGTGTCACATACAGAAATTTTTTGATATTTGCAACCATAGTAAAACAAAGACTTACATTTCTGATATTTATTTTATATATTTAAGTGCCATTTAACAAAGAAAAATCAACCAAAAAAATGAGTTCATGTGTCACTTCTGACATGCATGTCATAGGTTCACCATCACTGTCCTAGGGTCTTCTGAGGCATAGAAGTTGTAAATTTTAATGAGGTTAGATCTCATCCATATTTTCCTTCATGGTTTTTACTTATGTCTTGAAAAACTTTTTCTATCATGAGGTCAAGGTCAAGATATTCTTTATTTTAAGATCCATTTTTTCACATTTAGCTTTTAATCTGTAATCTGGAGTAAAAAATTTTCATCAGCCCAGCTGGCGTGGCTCAGGGGTTGAGCATTGACCTATGAACCAAGAGGTCACAGTTCGATTCCCAGTCAGGGCACATGCCTGGGTTGTGGGCTTCATCCCCAGTGTGGGGCATGTAGGAGGCAGCAGGACAATGATTCTCTCTCATCATTTATTTTTCTATCTCTTTTTCCCTTTCCTTCCTCTCTGAAATCAATAAAAAAAAATTTTCATCATCTATTGAATGTTTTATTTCAATGACTATTTTTTTCATATCTAGGATTTCTAATGAATACTCTTTTTTATGTACTTACCCTTGATTTCTTTTCTTTTTTTTTTTGGCTTATTTGTTTCATAATTTCTTGTTCTATTTTTAAATAAAAATCTATTTCATTTATTTCTCTGAACATTCTAAACATACTCATTTTAGTGTGGTAGTCAGGCTGGTCTATGGAATTAATTTCATATGAAATGACTGCATTTGCTAATGGGTGATTTTGTTGGTTGTCTGTCTTAACATTGGATTGGCTTCAGTTTTTGGAATTTGAGTTTACAGGATCATTCTGAGTGGCAGGTATATTTTGTTTGTTTGATACTCTCCTTCCTCACCCTCCCTACCTAACGGTTTGCACTTTCTTCTACTTGACTCCTTGAATTCCAAGTTTAGAACCAGGCCTATTAAGTTTCATGCTTCATGTTAACACTGAAAAGCTCAAATTCAGCAAGAGAACCAGTGGGCACCTTGTTTTCAGGACCAGGCCATGAGGCTGTCTGTTCCCCCACCTTCCCCGAGAGGCTCTCAGTGTTCTAAATCTGAAATCGGCAGAGCAGTAATTGAGTTTCCATGCAACTCTCTCTCACCTCCAGTCTCCTTTCACAGGGTGTTGGGGATTTTAGCTCTGGCCCCAGTTAATCAGCTTGGCTCTCTTCTGGCTCACAGGAAACACTTTTAGTCTTTTTTCAATTGCTAAGCCTGCTTCCAGACCTGGACCCCAAAACTCAGGCCCCACTTATCCCATCCCATTTTGCAGCTATTCTGTAGCTCATGACTAGGTCTTTATTGTGTTTTTAAAAAATAACTCTTAAGCCCTAACCGGTTTGGCTCAGTGGATAGAGCATCGGCCTGTGGACTGAAAGGTCCCCGGTTCGATTCTAGTCAAGGGCATGTACCTTGGTTGCGGGCACAACCCCAGTAGGAGGTGGGCAGGAGGCAGCTTATCGATGCTTCTCTCTCATCGATGTTTCTAACTCTCTATCCCTCTCCCTTCCTCTCTGCAAAAAAATCAATAAAATATATATTTTTAAAAATAACTCTTAACTGTATTGCTACTTTGTGTTTGGAACAGCAGACATGCATGGAAGTGTGAATTCACTGTGTCATCTTGAGTGATACCAACATCAGCCCGGCTGGTGTGGCTCAGTGTTTGAGCATTGATTGACCTATGAGCCAGGAGGTTATTGGTTCGATTCCCAGTCAGGGCACATGTCTGGGTTGCGGGTTCCATCCCCAGTTTGGGGTGGGTAAGAGGCAGCCGATTCATCAATGATTCTCTGTCATCATTGATGTTTCTATCCCTCTCTCCCTCTCCCTTCTTCTCTCTGAAATAACTTTTAAAAATATTATATATATGCCATGGTGGATGCATGCTGGCCTGTGGGTACTCATGGTGGATGTTTTTATTTATTTTTTTCAAATATATTTTATTGATTTTTTACAGAGAAGAAGGGAGAGGGATAGAGAGTTAGAAACATCGATGAGAGAGATCGACCAGCTGCCTCCTACACGCCCCCCAGTGGGGATGTGCCCGCAACCAAGGCACATGCCCATGACTGGAATCGAACCTGGGACCCTTGAGTCCGCAGGCCGATGCTCTATCCACTGAGCCAAACCGGTTCAGCTGGTGGATGTTTTTAAATGAAGGACTCTTGGGTATATCTTCTTATTCCTGTTTACACCTTGGATGTTTAGTTTGGATCCCACTAAAGTTGCATAACCTTGGCAAGTTGCTTTTTTAACATCTCTAATCTTTTCCCCCATATTTAAGATGAGAGGATAATATACCTTGCAGGGCTGCCTAAAGATCTAGGACAGTTCTGTGCAGGTCCTTCCCATGGATTAGAAGGCATTCCAGAGAGATTAGTTCTCTCCTGCTCTGTCCCCACCCTACCCTCATCAGTGATTAATGATTTCCCTGGCAGAGCAAACAGTTTTCTGCAATTGTTGGATATTGAGTTCTATATGTGTTAATAGGTTAAGATGATTGATAGTGTCATCCAGACTTGTATATTTTATTGATTTGGGGGGGGCGTGTCTTCTGGTTCTATTAATTACTGAGAGAGATGTGCTAAAATATACAACTACAATTGTGGGTTTGTCCAGTTCTCCCTGTAGTTCTCTGTTTTATTTTGTGTGTTTGTTTTTTATGACATTATTTTTTGTTGCTGTCGAAATCTTCCATATAGATTCATTTCTTGTTTTATCAGCATTATTGAGGTATAATTGATGTAATAAACTGTTTAGCATTTGTAAGGTATGTATGTAACTTGGTGAGTTTTGTCATATGTATTTACTAGTAAGCCAGTGAAACCACTACTACAGTGAAGATAATGAACATACCATTGCCCTTAAAAGTTTCTTTGTGCCAGTTGGTAATTCCTTCCTCCAGCTTCCTCCTCCCTTCTCCCTCCCCACTGCTCCCAACCAGATAAACATATACTTCTGGCACTATAAATTAATTTGTATTTTTTAGAATTTTACATAAATGGAATCATACTTTATAGACTCCTTTGTGGTCTGACTTCTTTCACTGAGCATGATTATTTTGGTTTTCATCCATGTTGCTGTATTTATCACTAGTTCACTCTTATTTATTGCTGAGTCATATTCTATTATATGAATACAGCATAATTTGTTTATCCAGTCACTTATTTCTGGACATTTGGATTCTTTCCAGTTTTTGACTGTTATTTTCCTAATATGTGGAATAAGTGCAAGTGTAATTTACCATGTTGTAATGTCCCTTTATTTTTCTCTCTCTTTGCAGCATGGGTAAGTTCTCTCTCCATGGGGATGATTTTCTTTTGCTGCCCAATAGTCAGCATCTTCACAGACATATTTGGTTGTCGGAAAACAGCTGTTGTGGGTGCTGCTATTGGATTCATTGGACTCATGTCCAGTTCTTTTGTAAGGTAAGGACTTGGTTTCTTCATGTTGCTTTTTGAGAACTGTTAGGTACCTTAAAATTTTCCTTTCAGAAACTTTGCTGCTTACAAGAAAACATCTTCCTTTTTGTTGCTAAAACTGTATGCAATATGACTTGCTCATTGTTATCCATCGCAGCAAATCAGAGCTTGAGAAATTGAGTGTTTTTGCTTATAGTGCCTCACAGTTAGACATTGTTCAGGATTTACCGGTATATGTTCCCTGGAGCAAGAGAAATGTTTCTCCTTTAGTTTTTTTCTAATCACATAACAATCCTAAAAGAACTCATACAATGAGTTGTCTAAAGCAATAGCATTAGCTGAAGGTCAGCTCAGTCTGAGGCCCGAAGGGTATAATAAGTGGTGTGTTGAAGCAGTTGTTCATAGGCTTGATATGAGATATTTTTATTAATGAAAAAAAACTTTATTTATTTCAACCCAGGTAGAGAATTCCTGGGTGCATTTTTTTTTTTAAAGAACACACTAAAATTTAAAAAGATTATGGCAAAATGAAGTGGTCAAATGCAGCTTAAAAGAAAAAAAATATCAGTACATTTTGCCTGTGTCTGTTAAAGATGTAGTTCATACAGATGAAGAGGAACTAACTGCAAAGAGCTAATGGGCCTATTACTGTATGGAGCACTTCTCCCTCCAGTTCCAGCTCTACTAGTCAATCCCGTTGCATTGTCAGAACAATCCCTGGTTAGAGAAACACTGGCTTAATATAGTGCTCTAGCTAACAGGTGATTAACAAGAAAACCTCTTAAAATGATTTTCATCTTATGTCTACTTTAGTGGTTTAATCCTAATTTTTTGCCTATTTCCCTTACCTAGCTATCTTCATGCACTAGTTGAAAAGCATTATTGAATCATTAGAAAAAATACACACACTTACATTTGTTGCCCTGATGGTTTTTAAATATTCTGGATTTAATCAACAGAATCCTTGGTTTACTAATTTTACCCCCACCCACCCTACCTATACCCCTTCCTCATCTCTAAAATGAGCCTCTTTCTTTCACCTAACTTAGAAAAAAATTCTTTTTTTAGAGAATGGGACGGGGGAAGATGGATAACGAAATACTGATGTGAGAGAGACACGTCAATTGGTTGCCTCCTATATGCTCCCCGACCAGGTCTGGGGATCAAAGCTTCCAACTGAGGTATGTGGCTTTGACCAGAATCAAACCCAGGACCCTTCAGACCTCAGGCTGACACTATTCACTAAGCCAAACCAGCTAGGGCTAGAAATTTTATTTGGATTCTAAACAATTATTTTTATGCCTTGATAGAAAATATATATGCCATCTTTATAGTGCCTTTATGATTTTTTTCCCTTCTAAAGTTGTCTTTTAAAGAAACAAAACAATTTTGTTTGAAATAAGATTCTGCTTAGGTAATTACTTTCACTTTTTTTGTTTTTAAAGGAAGTTCTAACTTTTTTTTTTAATAGAGGGAGAAAGGGAGAGAGAGAAACATAGATGTGAGAGAGATACATCGATCTGTTGCCTCCCTAACTCAGGCTCAAACCCACAAGCTAGGTATGTGCCCTCACCAGGAATTGAACCCATGACCTTCCAGTGCATGGGATGACATTCCAACCAACTGAGCCACACCAGCCAGGGATAATTTGAGTTCTTGTTTTTTAGCAATAATACAATATTGTGCTATTACCAACTTGTCAGATACCTGTTTTGATCTGGAAGCTTCCAGGTACCCATTCCATTGCCTGTACATGTGGCCAAAGCACTTGAATATATTAACAATCAGGCTTTTGTGGAGAGATGACCAGCCGGTAGAAAACCCATGTAATTTATTACCTTATTTGGTAGACAAAAAACATATATACCAACCTACTTACAGCAAGCAATGTTTTTCAAACTTTTGATGATTGAGAAGTAAAAATTATGAAATGTGTTTTACATTGAGACTCAACAAAATATCTTGAAACCATATTTGCTACATGTAATGTTCTCAAATTTTCCACTCAGCTCCACTGGTCAAAAGATATCAAACTTTTATTTATTTAAAAAATATGTGTTGGAGAGATGTTTGTCTTCATCCGTAATCAGAGAACGCACATTCAAACAATTACCCCATCACAGGCAAAAAAAAAAAAATATGTGTGTTTTTTTTAAATTTTTTGTGTTTTTTTTTTTCATTTCAGAGAGAGAGGAAGGGAGAGGGAGAGAGAGATAGAAACATCAATGATGAGAGAGAATCATTGTTCAGCTGCCTACTGCATGCTCCGTACTGGGGAGCAAGTCTATAACCCAGGCATATGCCCTGACCTGGAATCAAACCATGACCTCCTGGTTCATGGGTCAACGCTCAACCACTGAGCCACACCAGCCTGGCAAAAGATACCGCGCTTCTAGAGCAACACGCAGGAGCAAGGGGAAATGTGGTATAAGTTCCAAGTGTTGAACAGTGGACCCACTTTTCCTATAGTTCAAATTCTTTTATCTCCTACTGGGGATGTGCCCGCAACCCAGGTACATGCCCTTGACCGGAATTGAACCTGGGACCCTTCAGTCCGCAGGCCGACGCTCTATCCACTGAGCCAAACCAGTTTTGGCCAAATTCTACCTTCTTAGGAAAACCTTCTCTAGCATTCCGAGGGCATGTCAGTGTCCCTTCTCTGAATCCTTTTTACACACAGGACTGGCATCTTACTGACTTACACTGCACTTATTCAGTTGTCAAACTTTCAACAATTTGACCGATTTGTTAGTGAGGTAAAAATTTAGAAGTAAATCTAAAGTACTCAGTGGCAGTGAAAATGCCATCACAAAGCTTATGTACTTGACTTTGTAGGAGAGATAGGAAGTATTTAGTATTTAAAATGGTGTCCAAAAGAATGTTTTCAGTTTATATCTGTGGCTCCCTGGTCTTCTAGCTGACAGCTCTACACTACTGTAGTATAATCATATAGCAGTTGATGTTCATGATGATACTGTGTTGTTCAATACCATTTTTTAAAATTTAAATTCTTTATTGTTTTTTTTTGTTAAAGAATTATGAATTTATTAGGTCATCTGGAAAACTAGATGGCGCCAGCTAATTCGTTATTGTTAAAAGTATTACATAATTCTCCCTTTCCCCCATTGTCCGTCCTCTCCCACCCCCAGCACAGGCCCTCTCCCCCATACTGTCTGTGTCTATTGATTATGCGTATATGCATGCATACAAGTCCTTTGGTTGATCTTTTACCACCACTCCTTCCAGCCTCCCCTGGTGAATACCATTTTTAATATACATCTTGAAGAAAGCAGAGAAATGTGTAATAGATTTAGATTCTTCCTTTAAAATTAAATAAAAATAAAATTATAAATAAAAAAATAAAGTAGTGCCTTAAGAAGTAAGTTGCAGTTATCTGGAAAACTATTTCTGTGGAAAAATTGATGCAGAATAAATGAAATATTATGTATATTTTGTTCTGTAGTATATGGGATAGATATCTTGTTTTACTAAGCAGACTATGAGTAGGGCATAACCACATTTTAAATATTGTTTTTCACCAAGTACCTGGAACACAGTAGCTGCTGAATATATATTTATTGAATAAAGAGTGGAGATAAAGTAATGGATGATCAGGGTGAGGTCAAGTTAATCTGGGAGTGACTCTGGAACCTGATTAAAAGATGGTGCTAGTTGTGGATTAATAGAGGGAAAAGGGCATCTGAGAGGTTTGCAAACATGCTTAATTTTTATCAGATTCTAGAGTTCCTGTGCCTACCTCAGCATATTGCTAGACTAGTATTGTCCAAAATGTAATTATTAACCAACTTTATCTTAATTTCTATTAAATAGTTTGCCTTTATTATTTGATAAATAGCCTTTTGAATTGGACATGTCAAAGGAAAACATATTGTTTTCTTTTTCTCCTGAATTGTTTTAAAGAATATAATGATATGCTCCTTTGTTTTTATAAGAGATATATAATTAAGTTACTTGGTTAAACTATAAAATTCTGAATCCTTTATTATTTCTTTGAGATGTATGTGGCCTTAAAGCTTACAAACTGGGAACATGCTTCATTTGATCTTTCTGCAATGAGAATATGACTTCTTGCTATCTTGCATAACACCGAGAGCAGTGCAGTACAGGGCGAAGGTTGGTCTGCAGCCCTTAGGCCAGCAAAAATGAGACACAACTGCTCTTCTGTGCAGATGTTCCTGACATAACCTTGGGGAGGAAATATAAAATACAGCCTTTTCCTTTGTGCCCGGGAAAACTCCATAGAATAATGAATTTTCATAGTTAAAACATTTATTGAGACTAAGTTGTTTTTGTGTTAGTTTTAGCACAGTCGGTTTCACCGAGGCCCGTCCTGTATGAGTGCGGAGAGCACACAGCTTTTACCCAGTGCTGCAGGATTCACGGGCAATCCATGGGAAGAGGAGGAACAAAATCACCGATGACCTTAGCGGTCATTTTTCACATACTTGAGGCATTTATATTACCCATTCAGATTAAGTTAAAATATGTTTAGTGCTACATTCTTGGTTTACTAAGTTTTTCACCTGTCTGTCTTTAGTTACATTTTATTTGTAGAAAATACACTGATTCACTAAAACCCACTTGCTTGCTAAGGTTTTGTTCTACCAAGCACAGGATAAAAATAATGAAAGCTGCTTTCCATCTTTTTCGTCTTCACACAGTTCCATCGAACCTCTGTACCTCACCTACGGAATCATATTTGCCAGTGGCTGCTCCTTTGCGTACCAGCCTTCCTTGGTCATTTTGGGCCACTATTTCAAGAAGCGCCTCGGACTGGTGAATGGCATTGTCACCGCGGGCAGCAGTCTCTTCACAATTTTGCTGCCTCTCCTTTTAAGGGTTCTGACCGAAAACTTGGACCTCTTTTACACACTGAGAATCCTCTGCATCTTCATGTTCGTTCTCTTTCTGGCTGGCTTTACGTACCGGCCTCTTGCGCCCAGCGTCAGAGCTAAAGAGAGCGGAGTCAAAGGAGGCAACAGATCCCTCTTTTCCAAAAGAAAGTTCAATCCTCCCAAAAAAATTTTCAATTTCGCCATCTTCAAGGTGACAGCGTATGCAGTGTGGGCCGTGGGAATCCCGCTGGCGCTTTTTGGATACTTCGTGCCTTACGTCCACTTGGTGAGTGTGCTCCCTTGGCTTTGCTGGTAACCGATATCATTTCACACAGGAAAACCTGGAAGGGCAAAATAGATCAGGTTGAAGGTGGCCTCAAAATCTCTGGTGATCACAATTCAGGTCTTTTAAGACAACAGAGCTATCAGATCATTAAAAGAGGGGAAATGTGTAATGGTGTGCTTTGATATTTTAAACATCACTAAACCTACACAAACAAAAACAACTTCAAAACTTGATGGGTCACTGTTGCTTCAAGTGGCTTGCCGATCATAATCAGGGGCAAAGATGGGGCAGTGGTTTTTGCCAACATCAATAAATTCTTTTTGAAGCAGGGTGTGGAAATTAGGTAGATAGGAAAGCCAGTGGCCTTGACACAAAGAAGGCTGACATTCACTTGTGGGATACTTCTGGGATTGATTATTTAAGAAATGTTAGCAAGTTCCCAATGAGAGGAGTGGGAAGGGTTTCATAGAAAATTAGGATTTCAAGTGCTCCAGCCATTTATATTGCTTATCTCTATTTCTATTGAACCAAGAATAAGCAGTGTCTAACATATTTGCCCCTGGCAGATTTTGCTCTAAGATGCTTATTATGTGTTTTTCCTTTTTTCTTACTGTTGTGGCTGAAAGTGTATTTACAGGTCAACATACCTGATAAACAAAAATGATACTAAGATCAATTTTTCTTTTGTATGCATACTAGGTGTGTGAACCGGAATCCTATCCAGCTTTTAGTCTACTTTTGGACATTCGTGCGATTTTTCTTTAAAGTTTTAGTGAAAGTTTGTAACATAGGTCAAAAAATTACTGGGCACAATGGGTCAGCTGGTAAATTATATTCAACACTGTGGGTTCCTATGCCCAGTTCATAGGAATTAGGTTAAGAAAACATGAAGAGAGATGGCAGGAACGTCCTGGATCCAAGAATACTTTTATTTCTCATTTCCCCTTATTCTTTTTTTTGCCAGAGGTGTTGGGGAAGCATCTGGGATGACCACAGGGGAGACAAGAAGAACTAGTTTTAATACTGTGAGCCACTTGGCATTTTTTAGTGACTGAGGCACTGGGTAAAATGAGCTAGTATATGACCCCTGTCACATATGCAGTATGTGGCTACATCTTGATCTAATGATCCATCGCACACTTTTTAGGAAGGCATATCCGAACCATTGGAAACTATATTTTTGCTGTTGGACTACAGATCCATTGTGGAAGAATCAGCTTTATCACCTTCCTCTTCCATGGCTTCTCTTATTAAAATAACATTTGTTATATTCTTTTTCAAAGTTGAGTAGAGTTTTTTAAATAATTCTCTTTGGTACTATCAGGTGAACACACCCAGAGAAATCAGTCTCCCAGCTTTGCCATACCAAACATTTATCAAAGCACAAGTAGCAGGTGATTGTCTAGTAATTTCTGGTAATATTTTTATAATTTGTAAATTAATTTAACTTATACTATTTCATTTGATCACAAGAAATCTGTGGCAGAATAAATAATATTAGCCTATTTTTGCGACTGGAAAACAGCCCCATTGTTAACAAAGATGTTGCCGTTCTCTCCCTCCCTGGAGCACTCCTATATCTTTCCCGTTCCCCTCGTCTTCTCCCACAGGCACAGATCTCCTAACCTCTAAGGGACCCCAGGAGACTTGCAACCAGGGGAGCAGTGAGCAGCGACAGCTCCTTCCGGGCTTACCCCCTGAACCTGTCTCCAAGGCCCCCTTTCTTTCCGACTTCTCAGTGAGCCAAAGCAGCTCACCTACCCTTTCTCCTGTTGCTTCTTCTATCCTAAGTCCTTCCTTGTTTCATTATCCCCAGCTTTAATAAACATACCCTCAAAATAGAATAAAAAAGAAAAGAAATGATGTTATGTGACTTCCTACGAATCATATAACAGCAAAGCACGGTTTGGTTCCCTTCCACTGTGCTTACCTGGTGGCAAATCTAGTATAGCCTTATTTTGGAGCACAATGGGCCACTTCCCTGGATATACCACCAGATATGCCCATCTTATTTTTTGTTGTTGTTGTTAATCCTCACCCAAGGATATTTTTCCCATTGATTTTTAGAGAGAGTGGAAGGGAAGGAGGGGGGAGAGAGGGACAGAGAGAGACATTGATGTGAGAGAGACACATTGATTATCTCCTGCATGCACCCTGACTGGGGTGGGGATCAAACCTGCAACCCAGGTATGTGCCCTTGACCAGGAATCGAACCCAAGATCCTTCAGTGCACAGGCCAACGCTCTATGCACTGAGAAACATGGGCCAGGGCAGATATGCTCATCTTACTGGGGGGAAATGAGTATGCCTAATAAAACTTAATAAATATGTTATGGTCTCTTCCTTTAACAAATTTCTTAGTAGTGAGTGATGAGTGAGACGGTATTATAGACACTGTGTTCACCAGGAGGCAATAAATCAGGTAGCACAGGAGCAGTGAGGTTTTTTTCCGACTCTGATAACAAGCTAGGTCTCTTTCCTGCTTTTCCTCCTTTAGGCATGTTTTCTTAGAAAAGGTGTTGATATTTGGGATTTTCTCTGTTGAACTGTTATGGCACTGAAAGCCACGTTGGAGAGCAAACACCAGACAGTTAAATGCCATGTAGGTGTTTGAAACTCGTGTTTGATGGGTGCACTGAGTTGTCGACTTGTTATAATTTAAGGTTTGAATTAAGGACAGTTAATTCAGACTTCCTGGAATGGGACACCTCTTTCCTCCTCAGAGTGGGAAAAGGTATCTCAAATCTTTCCAAAGACCAGTAGATGTTGTTCAATTCATATTAAACACTTTTTGGGTGTTGAAGGGCATAGATATGTAAGGCATAAGAACCTGTCCTGAAGGAACATAAAATCTAGTAATGTAATAAAAACCATTATAGCTTATAAAGGACGTTTACATACATCATCTTATTTAATCTTCAAAAACAATGCACTCGCTGTGATGTATCATCCTTATTTCATGGATGAGAAGACTGAGGCACTGAGAGATTTGAAAACTTGCCCGGGGGTCCACAGAGAGAGGGACCGATAATTAGTGTAGTACTTAGATGCAGTATTGGGGGATGGGTAAAGGTAAAGGCTCTGAAGTGAGACAGATCTGAGTTTGAATCCTGGTTTTGTTCTTTGTTAGTTGGACAACCTTGGGTGACCTCTCTAAGCATTAGTTTCTTCACCTGTAAAATAGGGATAAACCCAACTTTGCAAAGTTGTTGTAAGGACTAGAGAAAACATATGCAAAGCTTCTGTCCAGTTCTGGTATAAATATGAGAGTTATTTTAAGACAATGTGATTGCTGATTGAGTAGTTTTAGGGGCTATACAATCAAAGGAGAAAGTGGTGTCCATTTGGAACGGTGGTTAGTTAAAAACTTCACAGGATTGGAATTGGGTTAAAATCAGATCCTTAATCAACTAGGGAACTAATTTACCTATCCAGGTCTTTTTAAAGATTCAGAATGAAGTGCTCTTGTGGTTATGTTAATCCTAAAATCTTGTTTATTAGTCTATTCATGATGATTTGAGAGGGGACTATGTATGCTTTATGGCATTCTTGCTCTCAAAGCAAAGTTGGAGGTCTTATCTTTCAGTGTCACTTTTAAAAATAAAGCGTCATGTTGCTCCCTGGACACTTCAAATGATCTCTCTTAGGCCTACCCACTTACAGTCTCCATTGTGAAGGTACAGATCTTACAGATCAGTTCAGATGAGACCTGACTTTCTAAATAACCATTTCTAATAGCAGCTGCTTCAGTTTCTATGACGTGCCCCTTCTGCCTAAGAGTTTGTTCAGTTTTCTGGGTTACGTTGCTATGGCTCCTCCTCCAGTTTTTCATTAGCTTCCAGAAGCTCAACACTCTCTTAGTTTTCCTCCTACCTCTCCATTGGAAATGAGATGATACATCATTCTTCTTAGTTTCTTGGCTGGCTCCTTGTCACCCTGATCCCTGAATATCAGCTTGCCCCTCAGTTTTTCCGGATTGGCTCAGTGGTTGAGTGTCGACCCAAGAATCAAGAGGTTACCAGTTCGATTCCCAATCAAGGCACATGCCTGGGTTGCGGGCTCGATCCCTAGAAGGGGGTGTGTAGGAGGCAGTCAATCAGTTTTTCTCTCATCAATGTTTCTCTTATCTCTCTCCCTTTCTCTCTAAAATCAATTAAAAATATTTTAAAAAATATTTTTTATTGATTTTTAGAGAGAGAGGAAGGGAGAGGGGGAAAGAGAAACATCATTGTGAGAGTGGGACATCAATCGGCTGCCTCCTGAACTGGGAATCAAACTGGTAACCCTTTGGTGCACAGGATGACGCTCAACCAACTGAGCCACACTGGCCAGGACACCCTAGATCTTTTTATTCTATTGGTGGTTTCATATA